GGGAAATCAGTCAAAACTAACTTTTTAGCAGTGCAAGCAAATCTGCACTTTCTTCCTTGCAGCAGGTCCCACTTTTTAGTATTTCTTTCTCTTCCCTTTGTTGCCATTCCCTGTGCTCTGGGCTGGAAATACCAGTGCTCTCTTGGAGCAGGTGCTGGGGGTGGATAGTGAGTGGAGCAGCTGTCCCAGGCAGTGCTGGGGGAGCAAACTGGGCTGAGGAGCTATTGCAACCATCTTGCTGGGAGGGATGGGCTGGGGGCACTCAGCATTTCCCACATAGTGCACATAGCCACTGGGACAGGCAGAGCTGGATCAGCCTCCACACCCACCAAACCCAGAGCTCCCAGCCCAGCCTGGGATTAAGGAGTGTTGAACCAGCTGGGGGTGAAGGGGTTGATGGCCCTCTGTGGTACCTGCAGGGTTCACCCAGTTGGTGCCTAGCTTTGTGGTGGATGATCTGAGCATGTGGTGACCATGGGGAGTTGCTTGAGGAATGAGGAATATCTTGGCATAGCCATGCTTGGAGAATGAGGGGGTAAGTGGCTTTGTATCCTTCTCCTGATGGTTACAGCCACCAGTCCCTGCCCAGGAGGCTGAGACTGGATGATCTTTAAGGTCCATTCCAACCCCTAAGATTCTATGGTTTTTAGTGGTCCAGGATTGTCTAGCATTAAGTTGGGTTTATCTGTGGAGATCTCCAGCTCTAGGCAGCACTAGGTGGTGGTGTGAAGTGAGGCAAGACCTGAACCAAGCTGCCCATGAAGCCACTGCTTGCCATCCCCAAGTGGGATAACTCCTTCCCTTTCCTGGTGATCCCTGCACCGCGTGGCACTAATTGGAAGGCTCTGCCATGAGGCTCTGTCATGGTTGCAGCACTGCTTTGATCTTGGGCTGGTGGAAACAGCAGATGCCAATTAGCCAGGGTAGTGAGCAACCATCAAAAGTCCCTAAAGAGTCACCAAAAGATGTCAGAGCAACCATCAAAAGTCCCTAAAGAGTTACCAAAAGATGTTGGTGCCTTCAGTGCTGCCCTGGAGTCAGAGGCTCCTGGAGGTGACCTGGTTAAATCAGGGCTTGGAGCTGCTCCAGTAAAATGTCTCCAACCATCAGCAGGAGACAGTTTGCATCTCCAGACAGACCTGGGAGTGACAAACCTGTTGGTGTTACTACACTAACTTTGGTTCATCTGTCTTTTTGAGACCTGCTGTCTTGAGCAGGATCTTCAGCAGCTGTAAACCTTTGGTGTTCTGGACTGAACTCATAGTCCTTGTTCAGGTTTCCTCCAGCTCCTTTCCTGCTGTGACTCCCAATTTGGCTCTGGGTTTCCCAAGCTTCTCCCTGCTTGGTGCTGAGTGTTTTTGGGGGTTTTTTTGGGGTGAAGAGCCTGGAGCTGTTGTTTTGATGCCTCATTGCTGTGGGACCTGGGGGGACTGACAGCAGCTCCACTCCATGGCAGAGCCAGTTGAGCAGTGAGGAACCAGCACTGCTCAGCTGCTTCCTGCCTCAGCATGGAGCTCATCACCTCCTTCCTTCCTCCTCCCTGGGCTGGGAGAGCCTTTCCTAGTGCCTGGCTGTGTCCAGCTGCCCTGCAGGTCACGGTTTGATGCTCACTCCAAGTCCCAGCGGTGGGTGGAAGTTGCCTGTTTCCCTAATGATCCGCAGGCTCAAAGGAGCACCACGGGGGCTGTTCCTCACCCACAGGATGTCTAAAGATCTCCTTAACGAGGCATTTCCCTTTCCAGAGGGAATGCATTTCCATCCACATCGGCCAGGCTGGCGTGCAGATGGGCAATGCCTGCTGGGAGCTGTACTGCCTGGAGCATGGGATCCAGGCAGATGGGACCATTCCTGGCTCCAAGCAGGTGAAACCTGTGGATCCCAACTCGGAACAAGTGGATTCTTCCTTTGAGACTTTCTTCTGCGAGACAGCATCTGGGAAACATGTGCCCAGGGCAGTGTTCATAGACCTGGAGCCAACTGTCATTGGTAAGAGTGGGGCAAGGGGTGGTGTGGCATCTTTAACTCTGACTTCTCACTTGGGGGTTGTGTTGCTGCCCACATTGCCCAGCAGCTCCCACTCCTCTGCTCCAGTAAAATGTCCTCAACCATCAAGAGGATGTCCAGAACCTCTAACCCTGTGCTGTTCCTCCTTGTGCAGATGAAATCAGGACTGGGACCTACCATGGGCTCTTCCACCCAGAGCAGCTCATCAGTGGGAAGGAAGATGCTGCCAACAACTATGCCCGTGGCCACTACACCATTGGGAAGGAGATCATAGACACTGTCCTCAGCCGAATCCGGAAAATGGTAATTGAAAAACCAGCATTGCTTGGAAAATAGCAATTCAACTTTGGGCTTGGGGTAAAAGGCTTAAAATGAGACACCTTGATGTGAGCTCCAAGGGTTGCTGCTGCTGTTTGGTTTGGGGCTCAGTAAAGCTCCTGAACATGTGGATCTGCCCTAAAAGCAACTGTCATTAATACATGTGTACTTGAGGGTCTCCCCATGTGGAGTGGGGTGGAGTACAGTTCTGGTGTCCCCAGAAGGACATGGAACTGTTAGAGCAAGGCCAGAGGAGACCACAGAGCTGAGCAGAGAGTGGAGCACCTTCCCTGCGAGGACAGGCTGAGAGAGTTGGGGCTGTTCAGCCTGGAGAAGAGAAGGTTGTGTGGAGAGCTCAGAGCAACCTGCCAGGAGCTGAAGGGACTCCAGGGAAGCTGCAGAGGGATCTGTGTTAGGAGCTGCAGGGAAAGGTCAAGGAGCAATGGGGAGAAATGGAAAGAGGGAATTGAGATGAGATCTCAGGCAGAAGTTTTCCCTGTGAGGGTGGTGAGACAGTGGCCCAGGTTGCCCAGGGAGGCTGTGGCTGCCCCAACCCTGGCAGTGTTTCATTCCAGGTTGGCTGAGCCTTGAGCAATCTGCTCTGGTGGGAGGTGTCCCTGCCCAGGGCAGGGGGTTGGGGCTGGATGATCTCTGAGCTCCATTCCAACCCCTTAGCATGTCGTGACACTCTACTCTGCTCAGCTGGTGATGCTCTGAGAGAATCCACTCTGGGGGACTACTCTGCTCAGCTGGTGATGCTCTGAGAATCCACTCTGGGGGACACAATGGCCTGTAAGTGCTCTGAGCAGAGTTTATTGCTGTGTGATTTAGGATAGTCCTTCCAGTCCTTAAGGAGATAAACCTATCTCATTCTGCTGCAGGCTGACCAGTGCAGTGGACTCCAAGGCTTCCTGGTCTTCCACAGCTTTGGGGGAGGCACAGGCTCTGGCTTCACCTCCCTCCTCATGGAGCGTCTCTCCGTGGAGTACAGCAAGAAGTCCAAGCTGGAGTTCTCTGTGTACCCAGCCCCACAGGTCTCCACAGCAGTGGTGGAGCCCTACAACTCCATCCTCACCACCCACACCACTTTGGAGCACTCAGACTGCTCCTTCATGGTGGACAACGAAGCCATCTATGACATCTGCAACCGCAACCTGGACATCGAGCGTCCCACCTACACCAACCTCAACAGGCTCATTGGGCAGATTGTCTCATCTGTCACTGCCTCTTTGAGGTTCAATGGTGCTCTGAATGTTGACCTGATTGAATTTCAGACCAACCTGGTGCCTTACCCAAGGATACACTTCCCCCTCACCACCTATGCCCCCATCATCTCGGCAGAGAAGGCCTACCATGAGCAGCTCTCAGTGCCAGAGATCACCAATGCTTGCTTTGAGTTCTCCAACCAGATGGTGAAGTGTGACCCACGCCGTGGCAAGTACATGGCCTGTTGTCTTCTCTACCGTGGGGACGTGGTGCCCAAGGACGTCAACGCTGCCATCGCAGCCATCAAAACCCGAAGGTCCATCCAGTTTGTGGACTGGTGTCCCACAGGTTTCAAGGTTGGCATCAACTACCAACCTCCCACCGTGGTGCCTGGAGGAGACCTGGCCAAGGTGCAGAGAGCTGTCTGCATGCTGAGCAACACCACGGCCATCGCCGAGGCCTGGGCACGGCTGGACCACAAGTTTGACCTGATGTATGCCAAGAGAGCCTTTGTGCACTGGTATGTGGGGGAAGGCATGGAGGAAGGAGAGTTCTCAGAGGCCAGGGAGGACCTGGCTGCCCTGGAGAAGGATTATGAGGAGGTTGGAAGGGACTCTGCAGATGGAGAAGATGATGAGGCTGAGTATTAACAAACTGCAGCTTGTTCTTGAAGTCAAACCTCAGCTGAAATCCAAACCAAGGTTAAAGTGGTCCTGAGTGCCTTGGAGGTGGCCAAGGGTTGTCCTGAACCTCAGTGGTACTGTTTGACCTCTTCAACCCTTCCTGCTTGCATAGTCTCTGTGCTCATAGAGCAATTGTAGCATGGGTGTCTTGAGCTTGATCACGCTGCTGTTGATTGATGAGTGAAGCTGCATAGGGACCTGACTTAGTGTCAGGGCCACATCCTGCCCAGGCAGGAGATCCAAATGGTTCCTGCTCCAAGGGAATGTTGCAAGCTGCCTGCTTTGGCTGAAATGGCCAACTCTAGCTCTGGCTTTTCCTGTCAAAGCACCTTTTGAATTAGCAATGCACATGTAGACTTCTCTGCAACTCTTTTTGTATATGAATAAAGACTCTTTTGGCTTTGAGTTCCTTGGATCTGACCAGGATTTTTTGTGTGTGGGGAGGTCACTGCTGCACAGGTGTTGTCTGGAGGAGAAGAGCAAGTGCTGATAAGGGTGTGCTGGGGGTAGGTCCTAGCTGGGAGAATCATCAACCATAATTAGTGCTGTGAGGGAAGTGTCCTATATCCTGTAGGAACTCTAGCTGGAGCTTGATGCTGCTCTGCTCACCTCCAAGAGCAGCTCAGAGGAAGAATGTCTGGCAGGGAATTCCTTGTATGACTATTCCTGGACTGGGGATAGGTGCCTGGGTGAAGAACATTCTTCTGTGGGGAGTTACCTCCTCATCAGCTCTGCTAAAGCTCAGCTGTTGCCTGACCAGGTCCTGCTTGTTGGGGTGGTGCTGGAGATCTGGGAGATGTTCCCCAAATGATCCATGAGGAGGTACAGCCATGGATGATTAGAATAGGTGGTGCTGTGTCCCATACTTAGGAGATGGAGGTGGAAGTAGCCCAGAGCTCTTTGTTGGCTGCAGCTAGCCTAAAAAACTGGTGTTGTGATAGCATGGGTTGGACCTAGGTGGACCTCGGAGTCCTAGAAAGATCCTTGCTAGTTGAGGCCTCCTCTGTGCTCAACTTACTTCTGTGAAGTTGCCTGAGCTAAATGGCATATGCCATTGCTCTGGGGGAGGCTGAGCATCATACTACCTCCTGGGGATGGTGCTTCATCTGATGGCTCTTCTCCATCTTCAGTTCTGCTAGAGTGATGGAGCTCATCAAGATACCCCAAAGCTGGTCAGCCCAAAGATCTTGTGGTTGAGTATCTTCTCATCAACCCTAGGTGGTCAATGAAGAGTAATGTAGGTCATGACTTTAGACTTCCAGACAGGACCAGC